CCAGCATCAATCTCCACAAATGCAAGCACATTAATCAGAGTGGCAGGTTTTCAGGAAGTCAGAAGGCTGGTTCTTCCTGTCTTTTGCTCCGGCTGACTGTGAACAGAGTGTATGGAAGGATTTCAATTCATCATGGGGATAAGAAATACAACTTTAAGGAACAGAATGGGTCACATGAATCTGTCCCAGTCTCTACTCATTTCCTATTCTTTCTCCACTCCTTGCAAGTATTGCGGGTGTGCCTCCCCACTACTGCTATTACCTAAGAAGATAATGGCAAATACAAATATTTTTATTCTTTACCAGAGATTTCTTTGCTGAGTTTCTGTCTTCTCTTATCAATATTTCATATTGCTGGGAATTCATTCATTTAGCTCTGGGAGCAAATATTGGGCTTTTACCTACCTCCTACATTTTGAGAATCGCCTCCCATTCCCTCACCCCTTTTGGATGCCAACTTTATGCTTGACACCACTCAGGAAGGTAGGGATCTGGTTCCCTTCCCAGCAGAGATGCCCTTAATTCTCAGCAATGGTTCCCTGCAGTGCTCTGTGAAGGAGCAAATTCAGTCTTTTCCCCATGCCTGATGGTTGGAAAAACCATGCATATAGTTGGCACTCAAAAAAAACAAGTTGAAACCTTCCATACTTATAATTCCAAAACAGGACAGTTCTGTTGCCCACTCTGTGGGAGTTTTGCTTTAAAACATCTTATGCCAATAGAATCAAAATAATCTATGCAAAGCTTAAGGTTTAACTCACATGTGAAAGAACAAACAGGTAGCATTTTTGGCATATAAAGGTAACACCGATAGCCCCAAATTTCTTGGCACTTTCCTGACACCTCTGCCAACTAGCTGTCAGCCCTACAAATGGTCTTCAGAAACAAGTGCCACTACGGCAATGTGAAGATTAGCAGGAGCAAAGTAAGGCAGGTAGCTGCATTGCCCGGTAGTATTATTTGGTTTCTTTCCTAAACTGTTGCAGAACCAGTTCAGGAAAAAAGAAATCATGGCAATCACTGGGCCAAATTCAAATGGAATGGAAGATAGTGTAAGTTACATGTCAGCAAATGGATTTCTGGGGAGCTTAATTTGGTGTGATTTAAATATAAGAGGCTAACGAAGGGTGTAAAGTACAGCACCACAGACTCCCTTACACGTCACTTCACAGTGTTAGAAGGCAGGAACAATCATCCAGAGGGAGGGAATTTTTAAAAAGAAGCAGATTCTGAAACTCCCTATTTTTCCATGGGCATCTTGAGCCTGACCCAGATGGTCATCATTATCCCGTGAAAGGCATTCTGTGTGGAGGTAGACAGCACAAGCTGGAAGGCCACATTTATCTGGCAAGCTAAAATAAAGCAATATTCCCAGGTACTAGCACACAGCTGTCTACTACATCCTAAAGATACCACAGCTATACAACATTTGGAAAATGCAGCCATGATGGTAGCCATCACTAAACACCTATTTCATGTATAAAGAATACTATTTGTACAAGTATAGTACAAACTCCTAAGAAAGCCATTCACTTACATCAGGGGTGGCCAACCCATTCTGGGCAAAGAGCCAAGATATCAGTGGATCAAGCGTGAAGAGCCGGGGCAAAGTTGGGGCGAGGGGTTGCCCCTTTAAGAAAACACGTTTAGTGGCTTTTTGGCCACAGCAAGCTCCCGCTGGCTGACGCCATCTTTACCAGCAGACACCATCTTTAATGGCCACGCCAGACGGCTCCCCTGCCTAGGTCAGCACAGGGAGCCAGGAGGAGAGGGCTGTTTTTGAGGTTGCAGGGGTGGCTTTACGAGCCATGGGTGGGGGGGAGGCTTCGCGAGCTGCACCCTGGTGGGAGGAAGTGCCACATATGGCTCACGAGCCGTGGGTTGGCCACGGCTGACTTACATGATCATGAAGCTGCAGTTTAAAGGTGGAAACAGGCTAACGTTGAACATCTGAAAACTGTCATCATCAAAATTTTGCCTCAAACTTTAGTTTAAATTTTGACCAAACCCTCCCCTCTAATCTCCCCCACCCCCAGATTTTCAAAAGTTGTGATTTGCCCCAAGCTGGTTGGAATACTAAGTGACAAAAATGTTCAAAAATCTTTTGACCATCTCTAGTTCAAACACAGCCCAACAATAAGGGAGAAAGTAAGACCACCCCTACACATAAATTAACTCTGGTTTATGTGTAACCCTTCACAGATAGGCTTAAGAGCAAATTAAAACAAACCCAACAAGAAGAGTCGTGTCCATTTTGCAACCTATAATTTTTAAATATAACATTTTATTGCTTAGATGGTTTGATACAGAACAGCTTTACTTTCAATTTGAATTTGGAAGTACTGTACAACTGAATAAAGAGAGGAATAAAAGTACCAAAACAAATGTGTGATTCTCTGTTCATGTGGCATAAACCAGTCTTGTACACAACTCGTAGCAGCAGTTTAAGTTCCCTTTAGAAAAAAATATGAATTCTACACATTTATTATTGTTTCCTGCATGGGCTGAAATCACTAAGATTAAATTTCCTTCTTGAACAGAAAGGAGAGAGAGACACACACGCACACACAGAAGGGGAAAGAAGATTATGAATCATTCTGAAAATGGAATCAGACTGTCACACGGCTCCAAAAAGCCATTTGAGGATAGTCACAAAACATAAGTTTTCTCTTTTTGCGCTTTCACAGTCAAGTGCTTAATGTAGTGATTGAATTATTTCAACGCTAAGTCCATTGCAGCTCTGACAAAAGAATTTCAGAAGATCCATTTTTTTTGTAAAAGCCCTGAGAAAGGAAAAATAAAAGGATTCAAACAAAAAAAAATAGAGAGAGAGCGCGACAAATTAGCTGAACATGCAAACTAAGCCTAAGATTCACCCATAGTTTAAACATGTTATAAACTTCACAGTTTAATATTGGGGAAAAAACAACAACAGAAGTTTTCTCAGTCAAATTCAACTAATGAAAATGTCAATAAAATGTGGCAAGACCTTATAATCTACTAGGATATAGATAAAGGCTAAATAAAGCTTTAAATCAATAGTGATTATTGCTAGCAGATGTCCCGGCAGACTGCTGGGAATTGATTACTTGCTACATTGTTCTGCAGCATATAGTTTAGTAATGGCTTCTCCCCCACAATATTGCGCGGTTTAGTGTGGAGAGCTGCAAAAAAAATCCCAAGAATTAAAAATAAACAACAAACAAAAAAACCAAAAATACCCAAAATAATATAATTATTATAATAGTAATAAAAAATTAAAGGATGTGTGAACCTGTTTAAACTAAGTAGAAAACACCAGGTAAAGTTTTAAAGGAATCATTGGTTCTGATATTTATTAATCTGAAGTAACTTATTTCAAAACTGGTTCATACATCCCTAATAAAAAAAAAAATCACATATACCTCAACCATTTTTTCTTATTTTAATATAAGAGAATATCACTTGAGAACATTTTTCTTCCTTTGAATTCTGTGGAGTTGGATTTCAGTCTCCAGAAATGTGTTGATATCTCTCTTCTTCCAAGTCTAAGGAAAGCAGGACATGCAGGCCCGCTGACGGGGGGAGCAAATGGAGCAATTGCCCTGGGACCTGGGGCTCCTGGCCGCTGCTACTGCATCAGCAGCTGGAACCCCAGGCTCTTTAAATCACTGTGGGAGTACAGCTCCGTGCAGCCCTGAGGATGGGGGTAAGGCTCAGTGCCATAGTCCAGGCAGCGCTGAGGGCTGTCTGTCCTATCCCCATCCCTTCTGACTAAGGGCCTTCCAGGGCATGGAGCTGCCCCCCCACCCCACCTTGCCCAGGAGCCTGTGGCAGCCCCTGAGGACATGTGATTTTGCAGGGGAAGGGAAGGGAGGATCACGGTGTGGGTGTGGGGGCTAGGTGGTACAGAACGGCACAGTGAGACTCCGGCAATACTATGGCTCTGTCTGTCCGAGAGATCATGACCGAAGGACAACAACAGAATGCTGAGCATACCTAAAAATGCACAGCTACAGTAGGATACATTTTGCTTAATTTAGTAAATGAGGGTGGTTGGAATATCTCCTGTTGTAGGCAACAGGAGGCCTGTGGAAAAACCCCAACTCCCAGCATTAAAGTAGTTAAACTATCAATATGCAATTTCGGAACACACACTAGTCTTCAAGCATCAACCCCAAAACCTCAGGAAGAAATGGTTGTTTTGTTTTAATTTATTTTATTTATTTTAACATAACATGTTTTATATTTGTAGTTTTATTACCAGTAGTATTTTCTTGCTTTAGAAAAAACGGTAGCAAGATCACGGTAAGGCTCGCATTTCTTTCTTGCTTTCTTTCAGCTGGAAGACTGAATAACTTGCTCATTAGTAACAAATGTCATCACTGCTGTGATCGGAACCAAACTACTATAGCATTTGCAGTGCCTTCCTCACGCACTTGGGGAAAAGGGAGGAGGGGGGACGATCCTTTCACGACCCTCTCCACACACGGCCATGCAGGCACGCTATCACTAGTGAGATGTTCCCCTGTACATTTGTGAGGATTACTTGCTGGCCTCCATTTGATTCTCCAGTCAGAGGAAGGCTTCCATTTAAGTACAGTAGAAGAGCTGCAACATGAGAGGGGAATTGGTGAAAGCTTAAACAGAGGATCCAAGCTGCACTGTAGATCTCCGAGGGCAAATATTGCCCATTCGTTTCTGCTGACTGCAGAGACTAGCAAACTGATGAATTTATAAAATAATAATAAAATAATAATAATAATATATTGAAGCAAATCAAACATATATAACAGCGGGTGCATAATTTCCATAGGTTAAATTGCTATGTAACTCTTCTCTGTGTACTCAGTCCACAATGGCCAGAAAGAATGTCTTAAAATGGTAACTACACCACCATTTCTAATGCTGAAAAGTGGAAACAAGTTATGAGGTTGAAAACTCTTTGTCTTTCCTGGTTTTGGCTTTAACCAACTTTGAATACCTTCAATGACCATGTCATTAATACCTGTAACTGGATTAATGCTCCATCATATGGCAAAATGCAAGAACACACATACTGAGAAAAATCAGCATCTCATCTGTATTTCCTCTGGCTATCTCACTTGAAATTCATGTAATTTTCTTCCAGTTATTGGCTGTGGTATCCAAGGGCTTTCCCCACCCCACTGCCCCCATTTCCAGCTCAGAGAACAAACACAGCGACTATCACAGATATACAAGAACAAGCTCACACACACTCACACACACACACACACACACACACAAACAAACACACCAATACAAAAGGTAACATTAATGCTTAAATGAAAAAGGTCCTCTTCAAATAATTCATTAAAATATTACAAAAAAATCAATTTTTTGGGAAAAAAAATCTATGATACCAAAAGACCTAATAAAGTAGTAAGGCACTCAGATCAGTATATACTGTTGTCTCTTGCATTATTATACTGAAAGGCATATGGCACTGAATCCAGTCTGCCATACTATCCCACAGATGAAGGTTACTCTTACAAAATATACTCCAAAACCTTGCTCTGCTGGCTTTTGTTTGTGTGCTGGGATAGGTCCAATTTCATAGCAAGAAATTCACTCAACTCCCAAAAGCTGTGGTGCATTATCTGCAGAGGCAAGAATGTGATTCATGGGAGATTTTTTGTTGTGCATCTCCAGCAAGTCCTGAATGAAACCTGACGGACTCTCGTGATCACAGTTACCCCGAGATTCCTGATCTTTTGTGATCTGTTTCTGTGCATTCTTGCTGGACTCCGCAAGGCAAGTACTGGATATTTGTCCAGGGGTTTTCTCCTCTTTGCAAAGGGAATCCTTTGCTACATTGGCCAGACTTTCTTTTCGGTTTCTAGAGACAGATGAATGGTTACCAAGGCCTGCAACTGAGTCACACTCGTTTTCCGAGATGGGGTTAGTGCCACTGTGGACCGACTCATTTTCACTGTCTTCTTCACACCTAGACTGAGTTTCCTCTTTATCACTCTCCTTTTCATGGTTCCTAGCATTCTTGACTTTCTGGTGTATGCGCTGATGACGAACCAGGCTGTGTTTCAGAGTGAAGGTCCGTTCACAGGTCTGACATTTGTATGGTCTTTCTCCTAGGATAGAATTAAGATAAAAACATAATGGTCAGATTATAAATACATTTCCCTCTCTTTTCAGGACAGTACAACATACAAAACTGCTCTAGAAAGACACTGAACAGCCACATCAGACTTAACTGTCTTATTTACAGTGTGGGGGGAAAGGTAGGTGGTTTGATTTCAGTTATAATTTAAAACGGCTAATTATGTACTGTAGATAAACAGATATTGCTGGGACATAGATGGGGAAGATGTATAAATAAGCGGCTTAGGGTTTGCAGATACTTGGTTTAGTCTTGTATTAAGAGAAAAGTTTGTATTATAATAAAGTGCATATAGTAATTAACTGGGGCACAGTATATACATTAGGGATGTTAAATAACGGCTATTACTGTAACCATATAGCTGCTAAAAATTTTAGTGGTTACACGGTTACATGCTGGCTCACTGGGAGTAGGGCTGGCAGCCAGTGCAGTCCCGGCTGCTGGTCCCACTCCCGGGAAGCCACCTGCTCTCTGTGCTGCAGAATCTCATACAGGGCTGGCGTTTAACTGTTTGGGTTACTGGTTAAACCATTACCGTCTTATATCCTTAGCATAAATAACATTGCGATTTCCATTTTCAGCTGTCTCTGAGGGGCTAGATTTGTTTTCTGTGGATATTTTAGGTGAGGGACTAAGTTACATGTTCTTTTTTAGCTGTTGGAAGGAGTGGATCTGCCAAAGACCATCAGTCCTCAAACTGACCCTGGGATTGTCTGATTTTTTCCCCCCACATCTTGTATTTAGTGTAGTCCCAATGTGCACTGTAGGATTCCCTTTTATGTCACCTGCTACTTGGATATCAAGGCCAACAGTTAGGTTACTAAATAAAAGCCCTGATTCAGAAAAGTACTGAGCTTCTGCTTGGGAGTTGCACATAAGCAGCACCTTTGAAAATGAGGCTGCTTTTTTTTTTTAGGTGTGTCAATTTTAGGCACCAACATTTGTAGGTACTGGCTTTATTGAAATCCTATACTAAAAAAAATGCTTGACTTGCGACTTCAGTAGCAACTGATATTTACAACTCTATCTAAAAGCTATGTAACCATATGGTTTCAAAATCTGTCTGTAAAATGAATTTTTATGAATTTACCTCCAACTACCCTATAGAAAACACAAGACAATGATTTTACAGAATTCTTCATTCTTGCCCATGGCCAGCAGGATCAGGTAGAGAGAGCGCACATCCAGCTCATATGGTTATTTTTTGTTAAATCTTTAGCCATCATATAAACCTCATAGGATTCTAAAGGCATCTGCTATAACATGTATTTTTAAAGGGACAATGCTGTAATTTGGGTTGATGGGTTAGTAATCTGACACACTGTATTCAGCAGCTATAATAATCCATCATGTCTGTTAAAAGTCTATGCCCTTAAATGAGCAACTGTTCTCCCAGAAGTGAAGAAAAGTCTTGTGAAACTCAAAGATGTTTGTGAAACTGAGCCAATGGCATTGATGCAACAGGTTTTTTTACAGGATTAATCAACTGCTCCACTTTCTCTTCCCCGCATCCCCCAGAAAGAATGGAAATTACCACAAAACACTAAAGATTAGCCCTGGGTACAAGTGGGGAGGAAGGGACGCAAAGATTGAATGAGGCTGATGGGCCCAGTTTTACTGGGCAGCCAATATTTTAAAAAGTCAGGCAGCATGTGCGAAAACATTTCTTCCTCAAACACAAGTGGAAGGATGAACATTTTACCCACAAATTATTAAACTAACAAGCATGGAACTTGCTTACAAATGAGTCTACATATAGCAAAACTCCATAGAATCATAGAATACTAGGACTGGAAGGGACCTCAAGCGGTTATCAAGCCCAGTCCCCTGCCCTCATGGCAGGACCCAGCACTGTCTAGATCAGTGTTTCTTAAACTTTTTGAGACCATGGAACACCAAACAATAATATTTTTTTTATGCTGAACACCTATGAAAATTTTCTC